TGAAAAACAGATGCTCCCTCCTTTTCTTATTAATAACAACCATTGCCAGGATAAACTTTAAAATGATTTAAATATGAATGCAGGAAAGTCCTTTAATTTCATGTATGTTTGGCTTAAAAAAATATTTCATTTAAGATAACCGAAACCATTGTACATGGATGTCAGTGAAAAGCCTCCATTAAAAGCAGGTACTGAAACCCTTCTTATTCAGCGCCTTTCCAATCACATCTCCCAGCTCCCCAAAATGATGGCAGAGGTTTTCTGCCTATGTGCAAATCACAGGATTGGAGGAACATGCTGCTTGGCCACCCCGTTCATTTAGTGAAAGCTTTAAAATATTTTTCAGTTCCTATTCCCTTGATTGTAGGAATAAACCCTTCAGTGACTCTTGCTGGGTGGTCCCTACGACTTGACTGATATCAAGCTTCCTAATGTTTGTTTTATTCTTCTCCATCCTTCCGTTTTCTTCCCCAGTACATTCCTTTAAGAAAGCTCTTTATTCAGTGTAGATATAAATGGAGGGAGGTAATCTTAACACTAAACAGTTCAGAGCTGTGCAGTTCCCAGATATTTCTGTCAGTGATTCTCAAGCTTTGTGGGACCACAGTCCCCCAAATGATTAAGTGACTCTGCATGGAGTAAAACGAATGATTTCATTGCGGTTATGACTGGACGAAAAATAAATACATCACCTGCAATAATTAAATGTTAATCTATATATTAATATGTACAGCAACTGTCCACGATGGGCTTGTGCAAGCAAAGCAAGGAGCAAAATCCCAGAGCAAGCTCCCACTTTGCCCCCAAAAACTTGATTGGGACTTTTAAATATTGTACCTCCCCAACTGCTTATAGCACTTAGACTTATATGACGCTTCACAGCGCTTTCCGGCCCTCTCTAAGCAGTTTACAAAGTCAGCATGTTGCCCCCAACAATCTGGGTCCTTGTTTTACCGACTTCAGAAGGATGGAAGGGTGAGTCAACCTTGAGCCTGGTGAGATTTGAACTGCTAAATTGCAGGCAGCCAGCAGGCAGCAGACGTAGGCTGCAGTACTGCACCCTAACCACTGTGCCACCGCAGCTCAGTGACTGAGCTTATGGTTCTCACACAAACCTGTAGGAATTTCAATCATCAGCTCAAGAAGACTTGCTTTAGGTCTGGGTTGTCAAACCCACGGCCCACGGGCCCAATGCATCACACTGGTCACACCCACATCCGGTTTAGCAAAGGGGGAAAAAGCCTCGCTATATCATGTGACGCCACCTTGACAACATGAGTATGACAGCCCTGCTTTAGGTTATATAAGAATAAGCTAGCAAACTGCCCTCATCCAACTTTTAATACAATAGGGCTTCCAGCCAGGCCTGGTCCTTTAGTAAGACCTGTGAAGCTGAAATTCATATACGGGTAGTCCTCCACTTATAACCATTTGTTTAGTGACTGTTCAAAACTGCAACAAAACTTAAAAAAAATGATTATGACTGGTATTCATACATACATCTGTTGCAGGATCACTATGATCATGTGATCAAAATTCAAGCATTTAGAAACTGGCATGTATTTATGACAATTGCATTGTCCTGGGATCACGTGATCGCCCTTTGTAACCTTCCCAGTCAGCCTCTGACAATGGAGAAGTCAATGGTGGAAGCCAGATTCGCTTATTGACTGTATGATAATAACTACAGTGATTCATTTAACAATTATAGCAAAACGATTGTAACATGGGGAAAAACTCACTTGACAACTCCATTGCTTAGCCACAGAAATTTGGGGTTTAATTGTGGTCATAAGTCAAGGACTATCTGTATCCTAAGTCCTACCTAAGTAGAATTATTAAATGTTAGGCAAAAGGCGAAAACACACCCCTTTTTGTCCTTATCTCTCAGTCTGGCAAACCCAGCCTTGAAATCAAATATTGTCTGACTTTTTGAGTGTCTTGTATTCATTTATTTATTTAGGTCTATTTTCCAACAGTAGCCATTCAAACTTTTGTGTATTATGACTTGTAAAAATGACAGTTTATTTTCCTCATCCTCTGACAGCCTAAATTTATATGATTTAGTTTATTTTCTGATCCCAGCAGTCAGGATTATATAAACCAGTTTATTAGACTCGACCGAGAGAGCATGTTGAAGATACCATTTGCCAGGGACTACATTTGGTGGATTCCAGGTGGTGAAAGGGATGCAATGTCTCAGTGGCTAAGAAGTTGAGCTTGTCAATCAGAAGGTTGGCAGCTCAGCGGTTCGAATCCCTAGTGTCACGTAATGGAGTGAGCTCCCATTATTTGTCCCAGCTTCTGCTAACCTAGCAGTTCGAAAGCACGTAAAAATGCAAGAAGAAAAATAGGGACCATTTTGGTGGGGAGGTAACAGTGCTCCGTGCGCCTTCAGCATTTAGTCATGCTGGCCACATGACCACGGAGGTGTCTTCAGACAGTGCTGACTCTTTGGCTTAGAAATGAAGATGAGTACCGCCCCCCTAGGGAGGAGGAGACTAGCACACATGTGCACCTTACCTGGGTGGTGAATCTTCTCTGTCACGGCACCTGCCTTATCAGACATTCTCCCTCCTGACATTATATCAGCTCCATTGCTTTTGCTATTTCAGAGGTCCCTTAAGATTTGGTTATGTTATCAGGCCTGGTCAACCCAAGGAACCTGAGGCTTGATTAGATGGCTCCACTCTTGAGGATAGATGCATTTGTTGTCTTTCAGTATGGGGTTTGCATACTTTTTAGTTTTAATTAATCTTTATCCTAATGTTACTTTTTAATTTTTTAATGTCTTGTAT